CATATCTTATAATTAATGTTAGCAGCATAAATTAAGGGGGGACGCGGCCCTTGAAAACCGAAAAATCGCGAAAAAGTCGGTTTTTGAAAAACCACATTTTTGGGATGTATGTCTCATAAACTACCTATTCTGTAATTATCAGCACCTAATTCAACCGCAAAGTGCAAAAAAAATACTATTTTCGAGGCCGCCGCGGCGTTCAAAACAGGCGCAAATCCCGAAATCAAACCAAACTTCGCGCGCGCGCCATTCCCGGACCATGCGGTCGTCCCGCGCCATCTTGGTGTTGTTTTGACCGTGAATTCTTTTTCTCTCGTTTGCCGCCTTGCAAAATGGCGTCGGCAGCACAGTTGAGACGCTATTGGCGTTTTCCCGCGATGCGATGCGGAGCGCTAATTGGCTAGAGCAGCGCATTCATATCTCGTGGGAGAAAGCGTGCCCGCCATTGGCTGCTGTGCAGCAGCGGAGGCGGTCGCTCCTCTCGATGGCGCGTCCAGCGCGCTCGCTTCGTTGTTGCTCTCTGCTCCGTCCGCCTCAACAGACGTCTGCTTACGAGCCGCTCTTCGCCTTGTGCTATCTTTTTGATCATTTTCTCTCGTTTTTTTTTTTCTTTTTGCACTAGTTTTGTGCCTTTCGTCTTTGTTGTTGCGGGCGATGCCGGCAACGAAGCCGAAGTCAGTGCGGAAGTCTGGTGCGCGGAGGCGCGCTATGCGGCTTGTACGATCATTGAAATTCCGCTATTCTGCTGCGGGTGCCAACTGCGTAGACGCTTGCAGCGACGGAACTGTGTTGTCGGCTGTCGCCAGTCGAGAATCCGACACATCGAGTGTGGCTGGAGCCGCAAATGCACCGAGTGTTTCCGAGATCACCGGGCTCGACACGTGCTCCGAATCGATGCCATCCAGTGTGACACCAAGTGCTTCTGATATCGCCGGACCCAGCACTTCGTCTGAATCGGTGCCGCCATCGAGTGTGAGTGGACCGTCGCTTCATCTGCGGACGCGTTTCCTAACGAAGGGAGAAATCGATGCGAATGCGAAACGTCAAGACGCCATTTGCGCTGAACTCGAGTCTACGCCGGCGACGCAGAAGAAATTTCAACTGATGCAGCCGGCTCTTGCACCTGCAGTGACAAGTGAGGGCGAACAATTTTCGCTCATTCAAATGAACATCTTTAACGTCGTGCTCAGCCGCACAGTGTGCAAAGAATGTTTGAAAGGTGCTATGACTGTCCGAGAGAGCACCAAGCTTGGACTTGCAACAAAACTTGAAGTCGTGTGCGCCTCTTGTGGCACCGTCGATAAATTATGGACATCACCCCGCAAAAAGGACACACAGGCCTTCGATGTAAATGTCCGCGCCATAATGGCTATAAAGCAAATAGGCAAGGGGCAAACAGCTCTTAATGGCTTTTGGGCTGCCATGAACGTCTCTTACAGAAGTCTTCACCACAAGACGTTTCAAAAGCACTTGAAAGAGACGTTCAGGAAGCCAGAGGCCACCGCTTTGGAGAAGTTTTATGCTGATTCTGCCACAGCAGTGATCAAAACATATAAAGAAATGAACCCCAGCTTCTGCAAGGACATCACCGTAGTGTACGATGGCACATGGCATAAGCGGGGTCACACATCACACATCGGAGTGGGATCGGTAATTGACTTCTTTACAAGTCTCATCTTGGATGCTGTAGTTCTTTCAAACCACTGCCTTGGATGCCAAACAGGGCCCAAACCTGGAGATGCAGCATACGAAAGCTGGCAGAAGCACCACATTTGCCAGAAAAACACAGACGCAAAGTCGGGAAGCATGGAAGCGGAGGCAGGCTTGACTCTCTTTGGGCGGTCTGTATCCAAGCATGGCCTGCGGTACACCACTCTTGTGTGCGACGGAGACAGCCGTACCTTCGCTGCCCTCACAGAAGAGAATGTGTACGGGCTAGTGCCAATTGTAAAAGAAGAATGTCTGAACCATGTTCAGAAAAGGATTGGAAGTGCTCTTTGAAACATTGTGCAGAAAAGTGATAAGCCACTGAGTGGGAAGGGGAAGCTGACTAAAGCCCTCATTGAAAAGCTGACAGGATATTATGGTTGGGCCCTGAGAAACAATTCAACTGACCTACGTAACAGCCATGCAGCGTGCAGTGATGGCAACATATCACCACGTCACATCGACTGACCAGGACCCTCACCATGAACTTTGCCCAGAGGGGGCTCAATCGTGGTGCCGCCATAGAGCTGCAGAAGCAAAGCGTGAGCCACAGCCAAAACATAAACACAGCCTACCGGACTATGTCGCTGCAGCTATGCTGCCCATCTACGAAAGACTGTCACAAAAGTCGCTTCTTCAGCGCTGCCTGGGAGCGAAGACGCAAAATGCATCAGAATCATTCCACTCCATTCTATGGTCTCTGATGCCGAAGGAACAACACTCATCCTTGATCGCGGTAGAAACAGCACTGCATGAAGCAGTGCGGCACTACAATGCCGGCTGCTGCAAAGCAACCCAAGTGTTATCGGACTTCATTGGACTTCAACCAGGTCATCTGGCCATCCAGCGAGCTTGTGAAAAAGACGCTTTACGCCTAAAAAAGAATTCTAAAAGACACCAAGAGAAGATGGAGGCCAGGCAAAAGAAGAAAAGAGTGCGCTAGGACACTTCTAGCTACTGTGCTGGAGCTTTTTGAAGAAAACACGTGTTTTGAACTTTCTCGGCCTGTTTTCTCAGAACGGATTTTTTTGCTAGTTGTGGTGCTGAGGAAAGCAAGAACTCGAAAACCGTTCATCAGATTTGTGTGCCGTTTTTTTCATTCTGTTCCTGAATGACCTTTCAAGGGCGTAACAAGCTCCTTTTTTTGAAAATTGGTGCTGTTAATTTATAATAAACAATTAATTTTTAATGAATCTGGTCATTACTGGTTACATCAAATTCAAAGTTGCGTGAAAATTTTTGGGGGGAGGAAATTAAAAAAAAACGGCTTTGTAGCGCCCTGGGATAGCTATCAAGGAATGACCACAATGAATTTCAGCTTTCTACTATGTCCTGGGATTTCTCACGACTCTTCCTCAGGCACCCATGTGAAGCACCCAGTTAAACCTCAATAACTCTGGAACTAAGAAACACAGCTTCGTGAAACTTAGCAGTTGTGCTAGTTTTATTGTAGTGAACAACCCCTGAAAGTTTCATCCAGATATCTTAAAAAATAAAAAAGTTCGATCTCCAGGGTAGCCTCCCCCCTTAAAAACAATTTTGCATTAGTTTGAAACGGCCGCCTAAATACCGTAAAAAACTAGCGCCCCACAGCGGAGCCGCGCTTGAGACTGTTTTCAAAGAAGGGGACTCGCGTGCCATGAAGAATGAAACAATGTGAGTGCTTTGAGCATGTCCCCCTGAGAAAAAGGAAAAGCATTCCTAGCGTAAGCAGCGAAAACCACCTTGAAAGCAGCCCCACAACAGAGTGAGAGCGGTGATCAACAATAGTTCTTGCAGGGTGCCAGTCGGGGTATTGTGCACGACCCGCAAATGTTGACCCCGCAATGTCACAAGGGAAGTCCCGGTCTACGTCAAACCATAGATAATGTCGACTGCACCTGAATACTCGGAAGAGCACGCACCCTTACTTAAAAACCAAGTTAAAATATCTTCTAGGCTACGCTCGCCACTAATAATCGATCTGAGGTGGCCCCACATGGAGGACAAATTTGGTGTCAGGGGTCCTTTAGGCCTTCTAGACAATATGCACAAACCGCAGGTAAAAGCACTAAATTATAACAAACCATACCAGGAATACAAAACTACTCGCTGCATAATACTGCATCTCACGTCAGTGATGGGGGCATGAAACTATATCAAAGAACAACGTGGTAAGTCTTCCTTACAACTGCCAATTTCAGTAGCTCGGCGAAAAAAGGTGCAGCATTTCAACACATACGAAAGATTAAGTCTACCACTGCTGTCTTCATAGCCGTTATCAAAATAAGGCCGATGCTAACTATTTCTCTTGTGCTAGCAATGGCCCACATTTTTATGCAGGTTTCTGCAATACTATGCACACAGAACAACGGCACATAAACTTGCCAACCTGTCAACATTACAGCGAGTGAAACTAACCAAGACATGGGCGGTAAATAGAAAAAGCATTTTTTTTTTTAGTGTCTGTCCTGAGCACACAATTTTAGTCATTAAAACAACTGTTTTTCATTTATATGTCTTAGATCACTGTGCACCTTTCATTCAAGGTACGCCACTAGGCAGCTTATTTCATTTGCTTGAATAACTTCTCTAAGTAAAACTTCTTAAAGAAAGTACCCCGCTGACATCTTTCATCATCCCACTTCATATGTGCTTGTGCTAACATTCCGACAAATCATAAAACCATTATAATAAGCTTATAAAGCAGGAAACTGATTTAACAAATTCATCTCAGACATATGTCAACCATGACATAACAGCCAAATACTGCAAGTGAATGGCAATATGACAACGATGTAGCGAAGCATGACATAAGAACTGTTCAAAGTTGCAAGAGAGCTCAAGGGAGTAAAGTAGTTTTGATTGGTAAGGCTTCTTTTTCTCTTTAAGGAGAGTGACAATCTAAGAATGCAAGCTTTCTTTCTTTGTTACCTTTTTTTTTATTTGTGTGTGCTCTGCTAATGTAGACGGGCAATGAAATAATAAACTTTGGGATATGTCTGCCACAAGTATGGAATATGTCGAGTAACTGGATATGCTTATGACAACCTTGACAACATCACGTATTGAACCATAAGCAGGTGACTTGTACAAAGTCACAGGGTAAAACAGTAACAAGAAAAAAACCTCAGTTACCATTCAAATACATGCCCACACATTGGAAGCATATCGACTAATAGCAAATCCAGAAAGCACTATTCAACTGTTCAATAATTCCACATCACCATACATGAGAGCAGTATCATAGAGGTATACACACGTGGAAAAAAGAAAACGAGGGTACCAGTTCAGTAACGGAAGGAAGCACTCACCATACTTGACTTGGCAGATATCGCCGACGACAATTTCCGTCACGGCGATCTGGTGCACTTCACCACCCCGAATCACAGCAAACTTGTGCTCCTGCTCTATCCTGTTTTGGAGTCCACGAAACTGCCGCTCCTTTGTGTAGTCATTGAATGCAGTCACTAGAACCACGATTACTACAGACACTAGAATAGCTACACCTTCTATCCACCCAGCTTCCGATTCTCCGGGCTCCTTTGGCTTGCCTGCGCGGAAAAACAGGAAAAGGCAGAACTGTCAGTTGCTATCTTAATCTAGTCCTTTACACACGAGCAATCGCTTCGACAAGGCCCTCTTAAGCTGCAGGGTTTCATTCAAACTTACCGAGGAAACTGGCAAAAGAAAGTTACCAGTGTGTCCTACATTCACGGAACTTGAAGAAAGCATTATCGTATTTACTCCATTATAATGTGTTGTAGTTTTACAGAAAAGATAACTAATATTACATCAATGTCAGATTTGCCTCTGAGATCGAATCTACAATGGTTTCGTGCTATTGTGCATGGTTTTGGCAACTATTAATAGCTGTTGAGTGAATTAAGCTCCCAAAACCACAACATGATTAGGACTATTAAAGTGGAGGGCTTTGAAAATTTAGACCATCTGGGGTTGTTTCAAATGCACCCAAATTTAAGTACACGAGCTTCAAGCACTTTTGCCTTCACTGAAATGCGAACATCGGGTCCGGAATTTGATCACGGAACCTTCAGGTCAGCAATCGAGTACTGTAACCACTAGACCACTATGGCAGGTGTGTGCTATCTTTAATGGTATTTAAAATTATCTTCCTTTAATCACGTGTAAAACACACAAGAATAATAATTGTAATTTAAACATTCTGGACAATGTCAAGTTCGCTATATTTCACTTTGATTGACCTGCGAGGCAAATATTCTGGAATCCAACAAGATAGTTTTTCAAGCTTACACATGTCGGGCTGTATAAGTTTTCTGTCAAAATTTGATGTGGGCATATACAGTAGACTCATTAAATGGAGCCTCAAGGGACCACAAAAATGCGTTACATTTAACAGAAGTTTAATTTGTACTGAAAGATCAGTACAGCTGCAAAATACAGGTGCGAAACCAATCATGTCAGAGGCAGTTGTTCCATTTTAGCAACAGTTCCATCTAACAAATTTTCGTTTACATAGACTCTACTGTAATTCAAAATAATGTCTTCATATCTGCATCTTTCAGGAATGACATCTTTCCTTATAAGTGAGGTTATCAGCTGCTATTGTGAGCTCATAACAGCTTACATTAAACAAAATGCTCCTCAGCAAAGACAAGTCTGCAAATATTTACACAGCCGAAAAATATTTTAACCAATTAACCAACATCCAAAGGATTAATGGCAATGAAAACACAAAATTTAGAAAGTGTTATTTCCTTTCCTCCAACTTGACCTTGTGCAAGCTGTACGTTTATAATGTCACGTGATTGTGACATTAATGAAGGCAGTTTGGTGTGTTCAAGAATTCTCGACGAAAGCTCGAACTACAGCAATGCACGTATACTGATAGCGCTAAACAGAGCATCTGCTGTCGACAATCTGGAAAGCAGTAAAGCATGCCAGCTTTTTACATGTGCTATTAAGCATTCCAGCGTTATTCGTGGTAACCGTGCAAGCTCTGGACCATTCGTTTTCTGCATGCAACCTTAATAGAATGATGTTAAAAAACCGTGAAGTTTCTGAAACATTGCAGCATGGTCAAGCGTTGCAAACAGTCTTTGCGGGTGAAATCCGAATACACCAAAATAACATGCATGACAGTTTCACTATGTGATGGGACATCTTTGAGTGTACCATCACTGCGTCACATGACACACAACCACAGTGGGCTTCGGCAAAGAAAATTTGAATCTACCATGGTTGTGGTAACGATGCATACGAAATAGAAATGGAAAGGAATAACAGCGACCCCTACTGGACTGACAGCAGAGTTTATATAATGCCACATGCAGATATGCCACGCGACTCACCATGCGGCCCAGCGTCGTGGTCCTCGGGCTCAATGAAAGCAAGCACGAGGGAGACAAAGGCGGCCACTTGGAGGATGATGAGCGTCATGTCCTGCAGTGCCTCCCATACCAGCTGCAGGAACGTCTTAGGAGGCTTGGGCGGGATCGAGTTGGCCCCAAACGTCGCCCGCCGGTGCTCCAGGTCCGCCGCAGATCCACTCAATCCTGCGGAAAAACGAGTGGTGTCAGAATATGCACCATAATGCAAGGTGAACACTCTCAGAAAACTTCACGAGTGTGCTAAGCTTGAATGAGCTTACATTTGAGCACGACCAAAAAAAATGCTACAGAGCAAAAAAAAGAAAAACTGTTGGTGACAATGGCTTGCAATAAACTATGGATTGCCAATACTTTCACTACAGTCAAACTGTTTTCCGATGGGCCTGGTCCCTCAAAACACAGTTAAGAAAGCGATGGCCCTACATCGTAGATGCAGTATGCATGACATAATCATTCAAGATTAATTCAATTGAAGGGTTTTACATGCCAAAGCCACGATCTTGATCAATATGCATGCTTTACATGGAACTTCGGAATCGCAGCAATTCCCTGAAGTTCATCACATGCACTTAAATCTAAGTATGCACACTAGCATTCTCGCAACCTGCCCTGTGAAAATGCAGCCATTATGGCTGCCAACTATTCTGCGGCCTCACTCACGTCGGTGCAAAGCCACAGCTGCCAAGCGAATGTATTACCCACCGTCGGTGGGTGAGGTGTAGAGCTTCCTGCAGAGTTCCTGGATGCCCCCGTACTCGTCCTGAATCCGCTGAATGGCCTCATGGCCGCGGGTCTCCATGAGTTCCCGCAGCTGCTGCACTGTGACCCCATACTGGGCCGGACGACCCTCCACCGTCGCCATGCCCCCACCAGTCTGCGCCTCCTCCGCAGAGGACACTGCAGACATGGCCAAAAAGGGATGCTAAAGTGAAATCTACAAGTTCTTCCGACAGCTTGCTCTGTCAAAGAGACGCTAAAAAGAAAAATAATTTCTTTCCTATCAGATGATGATGATGTGTGGGTTTTAGTGGCACAAGAGCCATGCTTGGCCAAAGAGCGAGCTTGGCTAATACTTTTTGTGAAAGAGTATTAGTAAAGTACTCTTTCATAGCACCAACAACACAACGCCTATAGCAAGATGAAGCTTGGCAAACAAGAAAAACGGCAAAAAAACAATGCCGGTGGCCACGCCACCCTTAAGCTCTCGCACCAGTCGCCGTGACGACTAATTTCGACCGCGTCTGCTGGCATGAATTAGGTATGAAGCAAGCGCAACCACATTTCTGGGACACTATTTCAGCATTCTATGTTAAGTTAACGGGGCCTTGCGAACACTATTTTAGCACGGTAAGAGAAGGGTGCCGACCAGCAGTCGAGGACCTGGGAAGACGCAAGCCAAACACTATAGCGCAGCACGTGGCCTGGAACTTACAATTAATTTTCAATGTCAACTAGAAATTCTTCCCTCTTGTTTCTACAAATGATGCCATATAGAACCCAAATGACCCCCCACATACCCAAATTGAAAGCCGTTGGCTGATTTAAGCGTTCAGCGCTGCATAGTTACGATGGCCGCCGTAGAAGGGTGCCACGAAAAGCCGCTGCATGCCCGCACGCGTGCTTGTGATCACACTGAAAGCACAACACGCTTACAGTAAAAATGAAAAAAAAATTGACGACAGTTTAGTACTAGTGGTGCAATGCTGAAGGTAGTGTGAAACTGGGCAGCCTCGTTTGCTTCTCTTTTTCTGTCGTTTTTTTTCCTCTTTATTTGTATCTGCATTTTTGCCTATATATTATTTATTCCCGCTTTTATTTTTCACTTGCTTCCTCTGTTTTCATATTTCTATATGTGGCTTTATTTGTGTTATGCCAAGCAAAGACAGTATATGACAGCCCAGTCTGTCAAAGTGCATCAAGGTGCTCGAAAAACAAGAAGCAGAAAAAGACGTCTCCTTGGCGTGACCGCACGGTCCCAATATGCTACAGATGGCTATGCTGGACGTGGCATAGTATGTGTACGCCAAGCGATCACTGCATACAAAAGCCCGGGCCCCTTGCCGTACTCTACACTTAAATGTGTTCAAGTTCGCACTCATTTAGTGAATTTGAATGGTCACTTGAATAAGTCTTACAGCATCCCCTTCAATACTTTCCTTTAATGTTTTCACAATGTTAGTACTGCAAGCCTCACATATCTCAAACATTCTCACAACTGCAACAATACATTGTGTCACCTAGAATGCCTAGATTCAGATAGTATGACAACCAAAGCAGCCTAGTGTGCTTGCCCATCTACACATTTAAAATGGATGACAATCACAAAGTGGCTGCCAAAGAAGACAAAATAGTCCCTCTTAACCATGGAAGCAAGAAAGAATTTGGAAAGAGACATTATTGAGGACCCGTCTCCCTGCTCTTTACTTTAGCAGAGAATGCCTAATCGTTAGGATCAAGAAGCATATCGCAAACAAGAATAATATGTGCAGGTGGCTTTCACTTTCTAAAGTATAGCTCAGTTTTATTAACATCGTAAACATTGAAAGGCATGTATATAAGCAGCACATATTGAAACCCACATTAACACATTACGAGCAGTATTGCTCCCGAAGGTCAAGAAATTCCTCACAACTTTCACAATGCAAAAAAAGGACGCCCAACAAATTATTTTAATGAGTCCATGTTGGTTTGGGTTCGACTTGTGCAAGTGTGCAACTATGAATGAAAAGTTCGTTCACGAGAAGCACGACAGTTTAATATTATTGCTGTATGTTGTAAATGTATTGCAAAACAGCATGAGCAAAGAAAGTTGAGCACACTTACAGCTTATATCACAGGATGAAGATGCTGCTTATCATCATGCCCCAGTGGACCTATCTCTAGTTCCTGAAAACAAAGAAGAGAGCAGCTGGCATCAACAATTTGTGACCAACCAACTGCGCATGCACGTGCACACACACACACACACACACGCACGCACACACGTGCGCACGTGCGCACACAATTTCAGAGACACCTTAGAAATTGAAGGCTATGCTTACCGTTATCCTCAATTCTCCCCTTATCACACAGGTTGGTTTCCGAGAGATCTTGAACATCAATATGTCTGCGCAGACAAACAAGAAAAGAAACATTCCGGCCGTGAGCACAGAAGCTTGCATTACAACACAACGTGCCAAGAAGAGAATACAATGGTATCTTCATGATCCAAGACAACAAACGGTTCCTGATCAGAGAGAATGACGGTGTAGACAGCATACACTGCACATCACTTGTCGTGCGATTAAAACCCGAGTAACTGTTTAGCCTTGGTGAAGGGCGGTGCGTAGCGCAGATGCAAAGCATGCTTTTGTTGCAAGCCAGACAAGCTTAAGGGCTGCCTCATGACAGGGCTCACAGCTGCTACAAGAGCCGGCAAGGCAGTGCAGGTGCGCAGCAAATGCAGACACCGTAGCTGCATGGCCTGTGTGTAATGATGGATCACGTTTTGCTATGCTTGAAGAAGGCTCTAGAAAAACAAGAGCCCGGGAGAGCTTTCCCGTATGAGATAGCAAAATCATTTCAGCGCAGGCCTTAAGAAGTAAATTTCAAGACCGTAAGAGAAAACGTGGTAGAAATCGCATAAACCAGTCGTTACTTGAGCTGTAGAAAACGATGCGGCTTAACACTGCAACACGCAGCCGATTGCAGCACAGAGACCAAAAAATTTAGCCTAGCACATAATCCCACGGATACTGCTGAAGCCTACAGCGAAGCATAAGAATCAAGTTTGCAGACCTAACCCTTCCCATGGCAGGAGACTGCCTCACTGATTACTACGAGTTTAGCAAACTCTACAAAAAGACATAATCGCACTGGCACGTCCGACGAAACGCGCACATAATCACAATCGCGCCGCGCATACAGAAGTTTCAGATAAACAAGGCTCAGCGCTGCGATAGAACCACCGACGTTCCGTGCCGCGTAGCTTGCTCGTGGCTCAGAAAGTGCGGTAACAACGAACAGCCGACCTAGCGTGTACTTGGTTCAGACGTCAAGTGCCGGCCGTTAAGTGCAGGACACCACACACAGCGCAGGCCAAACCCACCCCGACCAGAGAGCACGTGTGAAGTGGCGAGCACAACACGACGACTCCGAAGCGAGCCGGCGGTAGGCGTTGTAGCAGAGAATCGCAGCACACACAAACCGAGAACCGCAGGGCGAGTCGTTAATAGCTGACCACGAAGTAATGGATGTGCGAAGACTCGTTTTCGAGGGTGGAACGAACACCCGGAAGCGAATCCAGCACCGCGTCACTCGTATTCCGGCGCCGATGACACACACGCCTCTGATGAAAGCGTCGCAAAGGAAGCACTCACATTGCTCGACTTTTTATGTGGTGTCTCACCGCCTCGCGAAACATTCGAACCCGAAGCGATCACAGGCGTGGCGCGGCGAATGCTGCACGCGGGAAGCATGCAACGCCCGACGACGAAAAGTGTTTTAAAACGCAGGTGGCGAAATGCGGTGTCCCCTGCTGAGGCAGGCGCGTAACGTGTGAAATAAAAAAACTGATCGGGCCGTAGCTGCCGGCATGAAAGCACACCTTGCCCACTTTGACGAGCCCGGGTCGCGTTCAGGGATTCAGTACCGGTGAAAGGACACTAAAAACACACAGTCGCTCACACTCGGTTTGCAGCCAAGCCAAAATACCCCAGCTGGCCGCCTCGCGTCGCGTTCTCCTTCGCTCCTTCATTCTATCTTTACGTTTATTTGCTTTGTCGCACGTTCTGCCATCTGTGCATGTAACCGGAAACTAGACGCCTACCGAAGCGCCACAGCCGAGAATCTCGAGATGCGAATGCAAAACCGAAACAGCTCGGACCAACCAGCGCGCACTACAAACACTTAGGCGCGTTTTTCGAATTGCTAACACAGGCAATCAAGCCGACGAATTGATTGGTATGTGGGGTTTAACGTCCCAAAACCACCAAGTGATTATAAGAGACTCCGTAGTGGAGGGCTCCGGAAATTCCGACCACCTGTGGCACCAAAATCTGAGCACACTGGCCGACAGCATTCTCGCCTCCATTGAAAATGGAAGCCAACGAAATACAACCCCTCTACCCAATTTTTTTTTCTACATGTTATAGAGAGTAGAAAATGACCATTACAAGGGGGTGCCCCTCTAAAAATCAAAAATCATAAAGGTACCCCCCCCCCCCAAAAAAAAAAAAATTCTGGCTACGCCTCTGAAGTATAGGGGACGTTATTTGTAGTGATTACAGTATAAATGCAAAGAAATTAAAGTGGACGAAAAGACAACGCGCCACCAGCGCGGAACAAACCTGCAACCTTGGAATAACGCGTTCGATGCTCTACCAATAGAACTACGGCGACGTAGTCTTCCCGTCTACATTATTGTACATGCATTTATACCCTGGGAGTGTACGCTCTGGAGGGCAAGAAGTTTTTCTTGCTAAAAGAATACTTCAAAATTTTGCTACAAGAAGTAACTTTCAATAATAGTTTTCGAATAAAGTTGATAGATTGATATGTGGGGTTTACCGTCCCCAAACCACCATATTATTCTGAGAGACGCCGTAGTGGAGGGCTCCGGAAATTTCGACCGCCTGGGGTTCTTTAACGTGCACCCAAATCTGAGCACACGGGCCTTCAACATTTCCGCTTCCATCGGAAATGCAGCCGGGATTCGATTCCCGCGACCTGCGGATCAGCAGCCGAGTACCTTAGCCACTAGGCCACCGCAGCGTGGCTGTTCGAATAAGGTGATTGCATAGCGGTAATCAATAATGTTACCAAGTGACTCAACTTGACTTGTGACGTGTTATGTATACAGCTGCTTTCAAGCCAACTGAGAATGATGATACGTACGCTATGAGCCGTAGAAGGAAGGGAGAAAACAACAGCACAACTCATCTATTTTGCGGTGGCACAGCAAAACAATGAACTAAAATTGCTTAGCATTAGGTGCCGAAACAAGGTGGTGGTGGTGGCGAAAAAACTTTATTGATTATTCAAGGGAAGCGAATGTGTCGAATGGCAAGGAGTGAGTAGATGGAATCCCGTAGCCAGTAATTTTTTTTTTCACGAGGGGGGGGGGGGGGGGGGCACTTGTTGGATGTCTACAAAAACACCCAATTTTGTTTTTTTGTTTTCTTGGTAAAGCACTCTATTCCATCAAAATTTCTGGTGGATGGAATAGATACGACTTCGTGGACACGGAATTGAATAAATCGAAGGACATACATATACAGGATAGATTGAATCCCGCCGATCAGACGCTATGGATGCTGAACTGATGAACTTCTTGGAAACTTCTTAGAACCATGAATATCTCCCTGAATAACCACTATTTATATACCACCTGAACAATGTGCGACTGACAGGATTCTACGTAATACGTCAGTGATTGAATGATAGATTTTAATCTTTGGAAAAAGATCAATGCGCGCCTCAGGTAAACTGCCACACACGGGTGACTGACGTAGGGGGGGAAGCGGGGGGGGGGGGGTAAAGTGTTTGCCAAGCTGTTTATGATGACGACCTCTATAGAAACAAGAAAACAGAGCAACTTCGCTTCTGAAGTGACCCCTTCCCTCGTTATCTTCACATCTTTGTTCTCAGATCATAATCATTGGAAAGAAAGAGAAAAAAATAATAAACAATTAGAGGGAGGTTATACAAGAGTATATGCGATAATTCATAGCTCGCCTTTATGCAGCCTCTACCTCTGTCCATGCGCTGGGTCTATATAGGCCATCGTACGCGCTGGTTTCATAACGCACCTCCGCGTCGTTTGAAGCTCTATGAACGTCGATCTTCTGTATTTCAGGAAACCCATTTGGCCTTGGTACTCCGAACGAGCGTAAAGAAAGCTACGACAGCTGGCTCGCGCAAGTCAACAAGGACTTGCTCCGGGTAGCTGCAAGGGCATGACATTGAGGAAGAGCCTTTTTTTTTCTTTCTTTTTTTTTTTCAAAACTTCCCGGTTTATATATTAAAGCATGTTTGACGCTATGCAGATGTCACGAGAACCACATTTTTTGGACTGAGCAATTCTTCCCCGAAAGCTCAATGCACGAAAGGTAAATAAACAAGGCGAAGCTCTAAAAAAAGAAAAACACAAAAAGAAAGAAAGGTAGAGTTTATATGCAGGACGCACAGCATGCGTGATGTGCCATTCGCAAATCCAGCTACCGCATTTAGAAAAATAAATGAAGTGAAAAAAAAGGAACTATCAGAACGTGGCCTAATTTATCTTCCAAGTGCTGAAAGAAAAAAAAATATGGCTGTGGTGCTGTTGTGTCCCGATCGAAATACAGGTAGCGTTAATTTCGGCAAGTGTCATTTTGCTTGGTAGGTCCACAATTATTCACGCGTAGATACGTAGATTCGTCAAGATATCGCCGGTTCTGTCAAGTGGAAATTCTAAAGAAATTAAAAGGCAGCCTAATTCAGAAATGGAGTCGAATCTACAGGCTTTACCACTAATTTTCTTTCAAGTAACAAAATACAGTGGTAACGAAACATCATTCGGCATACATGCTCAACGAATTGGTGGTTTCCCGAAGTACTGAAGGGTAATTGATGCTGATCAATAAGCTAACGAGGTGTCATCCTCCCTCGTGTCATCCGGGAATTCACAGAGGACCCCCTTTCACCTTACTTAGTTTCGTTTAGTTCGCGAGAAAAATAAACGAACAAGCATCTTCGAATCAGTGGCACAGTACACGGACTTCGAACATTTCTCCTCCGTCGGTATTGAATCTCCGCGGCCGGAATCGAACCCTCGACCTTCTGGTCAGCAGCCGAGCCCCTTAGGCGGACTGCACTTGTAATTTTTCAATTAAAGAACCAGTCGTTGCTACTACTACAGCGTCAAATCAGTTTTTACGTGGGCTGTTCGACGCGGAGTACATTATTTTCTAGGCGTCACGGGGATCGAGTAAGCCAACTTTGATTCTGAGAAGTGGCCGATGAGCCACACGGGATCAAAAACAGGACACATAACACGTATACGGCATCAGGCGCATCAAACTCTGCAGAAAACATTGCTGGTCTCGCAATAAACCCAAAGAGCGCGCAGCTGTGCACACGACAGAC